TATATGTGGTTAATGATATAAACAAAATTCCGTTTTAATTAATCATTAATTAAAATGTCTTTTTTTTTCTAATGAAATTAATTCAAATGTTACCTCGGAGTAAAGCTGAAAATCGGAGCTCCCAGCATCAATGGCTACAGAGACAGGCTGGTGAGCAACAGCTTTGAGAAGTGCTTCCTCGTCATTCTCAGGGACGTGTTCGTGTCCATCGATCGTTACAATGTCTCCATCAACATTTTTAGCTCTACAGAATCCAATGTCATAAGGATTATAAGGATAACTATCTTCGGTTTTGATGCCACCACTGTTCTTGATGAAATCAAACGCAGGTTCCATAAGACCTCCCGCACAACCTTGATTCTCTTCATTGTCACAATCAACGAGTTCTTGTTCAGACAATGAGACCAGTTTGTTCGTCCTGATCTTGTTTATCCCTTCAACCGCTGCAACCGTCGAAAACGCCCAACAACTTCCTGGAGATTTTAGTTTTTGTAGTTAGTGATTCAATAAGAAAAAGGTTGAGTATACGATCACTCAGAAGAAAATGTAAATTTTTTGAGAAATATGTTTGATCAAGATCAAACCCGATTCCGAGATAGCCTCAATCAATCAGAAACAGAGCAAAAAAAGAGCCGCACACACTGATTGATATTAAAATGCATGAAGTTGCAAGAAATCAAATACCACCAAAATTGAAGAACCATAAACTCCACAAGAAAAAAAGTCATCCATAAAATTTCTCCATTAAGAAATCATTTAGGCTTATTAAAATATCTTACCACAATCTTGTTGATTCTTAACTTCAGTAACAGCTCCTTTTTCTCTCCAGTCAACAGAACTCGGAACTTTGGTCACATTTTCATACATGAAACTAACTGCTCCGCTTATGGGTCCACGGAGCATCCGGTGATGCTTAACATTAGAGCCAGCGTAGGAGTTTCTAAACTCGTGGTGAGTTATGTCGGCGAATCTATTGACTTTGAGTTTGTACGGCTTGTTCTTCTTGTTTGTCTTGTGAACATGAAGCAC